CCCTCAGATACTGGAAGAGGTCGGTAGGGTTTCTGAATACCCGATCATCTACTGAATACCCGATTTAAGTGGAAAAGTTGCCAGTCGCGAGAGCTGGACAAAATCACACTGTCGATTGGAATAAAATATTGATCCTTGAAAGGAATCAACATTAAAAAAGAATCACAATCAAATACTTGTGAAGCATACCGTTTTCGACATCTTTCGGCGAACACTGGACGAAAAATGCGGTGTGTTCTCTTGAGGTATAGGAACTAAGTCGGGCACCGATCTTCTCCAGATCAGTTTCCAGTTGTGTCTGAGAACGTTTCCCAGTGCCCTGAAAAAAATTCAGGCACTCAGAAAATGCAAAAAATTCATGCAATTAGAAAATTCCGCGATCTTGGACCAATTGATAGAGGGTTAGGAAAGTTCAAATGCAGGCAAGAAAATTCATAAACTTACTCGATAAAACATATGCTCAAGAAAATTTGCAACCCCATTGTTGTCATCATTTTCGAAGCGACTTCCGCACTCAATCCAAACGCCAACCTGAAAGAGTCATCTTTTTAACGCAATTCATACAGGTACCAAAAAACAAGTAGAAGGGGATAATAAATTAGTGTTGCTCAAATTTCACGAAGTTTTCCATGTTAACCAGCAAAGCACTGACTGTGATACTGAATATCAATGGCAAAATATTGTTTGAAATAATTCCTATTTTTTAATTTTAACTTTAGTTTATGTAATATGTAAGGAAATAAAAAAGGAAATATGAACAAGTTAAGATTAAAATCTGAATGGGAATGTTGGAAAGTACGTAATCGTGGGAATTGAATCCAATTCGTAACATAAGAAGACAGCTATACCCGAATTGAATTGCTCTGTGTTCAAAATACCTGTTCTTCTCCTCCTCCCTTCCCGTAATTCCTATTTTTTAATTTTAATTTCAGTTGGTATGTGTTTATGTAAGATGTAAGGAAATAAAAAAGGGAAATGTGAATAAGTTAAGATTAAAAACTGAATGGGAATGTTTCGGTCCATCAAGTCGCATACATTCCTATTCAGTGCTGCAACTATAATACATTCCCAGCTCATTCAGTCGAGTTATCATATCCTGAAAAATACTGCAAAAACCGGAAACAAAGAAAAATGCTAAGAATGCAAAATAATTCAACTTACCGCAACAGTAG